CGCTGGCAGCCCAGAGGGCCAACCGTGTCCTGGGCTGCATCAGGAGAAGCGTGGCCAGCAGGTCGAGAGAGGTGATTCTGCCCCTCTACTCTGCTCTGGTGAGACCTCACCTGGAGTACTGCGTTCAGCTCTGGAGCCCTCAGCACAAGAAGGACATGGAACTGTTGGAGCGGGTCCAAAGGAGGGCTACAAAAATGATCCGAGGGCTGGAGCACCTCTCCTATGAGGACAGGCTGAGAGAGTTGGGCTTGTTCAGCCTGGAGAAGAGAAGGCTGCGGGGAGACCCGATTGCAGCAGGGTGGTGAAACACTGGCACGGGTTGCCCAGAGAGGTAGTGGAGGCCCCATCCCTGGAAACATTCAAGACCAGGTTGGACAGGGCTCTGAGCACCCTGATCTGGTTAGCGGTGTCCCTGCTCGCTGCGGGGGGGTTGGACTAGATGAGCTCTAGGGGTCCCTTCCGACCCCAAACTTTCTATGATTCTATGATTCTATATCCTGATAGATAAATTTCAGTCCAGGGATTTCAGTCCAACCCCACAAGCTACACTACAGACCTTACAGTCCTGTAGGACCAGCTGTCCTGGGGAATCAAACCTCAACTGTGCCAGAGGATGGAGACTAAGGGTCCATCTAGCCCAGCATGACTACCTCCAGCTGCGGCCACAGCAGACCCCTTGAAGAGAAAGGCAAATATTTGTGCTGCCTCCCCTGAGTGCACTCCCAGCCTCCAACCATTCTCATTTTACAAATCTTCTTGAGCTTATTGCTTTGAAACACAAGCCGCAGCTCAGACACACGGAAATTTCCTTGCGATCGCCATGTCCCTTGGCAAGGAGCTCATCGCGTGAGGAGCTGCTCCCTTCTGTTCCTCCTGAACCTGGCTCTCGCCAGCTGCATCTGATGGTCCATGGTTCTCGCTCTGGGAGAGGCAGTGAGTAATCGCTATTTGTCCCTCTTTCTAGGCCACTCATCATTTTGCAGTCTTCAGTCGTATCCCCGCTGGCAAGGTTCTCTTTCCCATGCTGGAAGGTCTCGATCCCTCTGGAAAGTGCCTCTTCTTATCTGAGATCTCGCTTGTCTTCCTCAGAGCCGCACCACCTTGTGCTCACTGGCTACCTTCAGTCATTCACTGATTTGTTCCCAGTTAAAACCAGAGTTTCCCACGTTAGTGATCTGGCAGCTCCCAGGGGCCCCGCGATAATGTGATCCCCCAGACGTGAGTCCGACCGAGGAGTCGGTGTGGTGGAGCAGGCTGCCTCCGGAGCTAAGAAAAGACTTCCTCCTGCATCCCAGATCTGTTCTGGTGATGCATCCAAAGATACCGTGTGTGGTTTCTATCGAAAGCTGAAACACACCATAAGGCAGAGGTTTTACAGACTCCATAAATAGCTACTGTTTAGGATGTATGATATGGAGGAGGCTTTAGAAATCAAAATATTTAGAGATTTGCATTATTTGTCTTGGCAGGAAGGAGCAGCCAAGACTGAAATTTGAAATCTTCCTTCAAGGAAGGAACAGAGTTGAGGAAAACAGTGAATAGGGGGAATAACAGAGGTGTCAAAACCTCCAAGAATTCCTTTTGCGATGAATGGAAGCAGGAAACACAGCCCAGTCTATCTGAAAGGGGAGAGAATGGGTTGAAAATGTCTGGGCACTTCTATATTCCTGACAGAAAATACTGATTTTTCAGAATGAATGTTGACATTTCCATCAAACCTGTGTTTGAATATTGCGAGAACATCCAGAACATTCAGCTAAAAGCAGCTCCAAGCTGGGCTGTGTTGGTGTGAGCTGCATCAGCGAGGACGTCTCCAGCTCATTCCCCAGCCTGTTCTCCTCCTCTCAGTTTTATTCTAGTCCCCGTGTGGGGATGTGTAACAGGAGCGTTACGATCGCTCTGGGCAGGGAATGCTGGGTCTGAAAGCACTGGCAGAAACGGCAGGAGCAGAGCTACCAGCGTGGGAGACGCTGGTGACGCCCAGGTTAGCAGGGCGTCAGCGCGTCGTGGTCGTCTTGGGTCGTCTCGTCCCGCTCCGATCCCAGTCTCCATGTGGTTTCCCAGTCCGCTGCTCGGTCGGATCCATCTCCGAGCCCGTTTCCAGCACCGCCAGCCTCAATCTGCCGTCTGGTGCCTCGGGCGGGGGTGTCAGCCTTGGTCTCTTCGCTTGGGCACGTCAGGCTGTTGCGTCTCTGTGTCTCAGGCAGCCCGGCCGTCACCCGTGCATGGCCAACCCCATGGGGCCGGGGTCTGCAGGGGGCCTGTGTGGTCCAGGCAGCTCCTGCCCATACACCCCGCTCCCTGCCTGGGAGCTCGCCTTCACCTGCGCCTTCTCCAGCATCCCTGAGCTGCAACTGGGCAAAAAGGGTGCTGAGAGCTCCCGGAGGCGGGGGAAGCGTGGGTGCAGGGCGAGGGGAGTCACTTCGGGCTAGGCTGGAGGTGCAGTGGGGCTGAACTGGGCAGGGGATGGAGGGGAGCTGCCGTGTCTCTGCCCCAGACATCCTGCAGCACAGCTGGACACACGCCGCAGGATGGACCAAGGGATGGACCAGCAGCAGGCTGACATCTTCCCAGCCCCACTGGGTGCAGTGGTCCAGCCCAGGACATCGGTGGTGGGTCCTCATGCCGCTGGTGGTGCAAGGCTTCGTCCTAGCATCTGAGTGGGCTCTGGAGCACAGGACAAGGGAGATTTTAGAGCAGGCAGGATCCCAGAGGAATCCTGAGCTCCTCGGCTGTTCAGAGCGAGGCACCGTGAGTCCTTCTCTGCCGTAGGCGAGTAGAGCCTCATCCTTGATTCATGCTGTCTTGAGTCACTGTCGCTCTGGGAGTTTAATCCCTTGGCGTGATCTGGGATGGCACCAATCCCATCAGCGGGGAAAGAGAAATGCAGAGAAGCGAAAGGACCTGCCAAGGCCTTCGCTGCTGCGAAGGCGAAGCTGGGGACTGAGCTGTGACAGCTGCCGAGAAGCTGTGGGCCGTGGGCAGAACGGGGGCTGCCTTCTCGCTGTGGGACGGGAGATGCCTGGCCCAGCTAAGGAAGCGTTTTTCCAAGAGCCCCACCGGCAGCGTGTGCCCTGGGGACCCCGGGCTCGGCGGGCAGACCCTCCCTGGCCGCCCGCTCTCCAGGCTTGCACGGGCTGCCCGCCTCCACGAGGCACCCACGCGTGGGCTCACCCTGGCTCGGTTTCGCTCACGCTTCGTAACGCAGTGCTGCAGAGAAGCAAAAGGCTCCGTGTAAAACAAACCCTGCAATGCCACCTAGCCCACGCTTCCTGACAAGTCTGGCTCCGTTTTTCAGAGTTCAGTCTACTGAGACGTGAGGATGGTCTGCATCATCCCCTGGAGAACTTGGGAGCCCCGGGCCTGGAATCAGCTCTCCTTTGACCCGTCCAGTGAATCTCCTCATTTCCCTTCTAGTTCCTCTTCTGGGTTCCTTCAAGGCCACCACTTTGAGCAGTGGTTTCTGTTTTGCAATCATCCTCCTCCACAGAGGAGCTGGGTACCTTTCTGTGCTGGACCATCGTGAAAGGCAGCCTGCCCATGTGGCTTTCCCACTGCGGTTGTGGTTGTCCAGCCCTGGACACTTTCATTGCCACCATGAGTACCTTGCTCTTCCGCTGCTTTCCTGAGGCTTCATCCACCAGCCTTCACCTGGAAGCCAGCAGAGCTCTTCTGTAGGGACGTAGCATTTCCAGCAGGCGTTTTTCTGCCAGCACAGTGACACCGTTTCTGCCCCAAACAACACAACCTAAACCAGCGAATCTCTTTCCAGTGGTGCCCAGTGACAGGACAAGGGGCAACGGGCACAAACTGAAGCAGAGGAAGCTCCAGCTGAACCCGAGGAAGAACTTCTTCCCTCTGAGGGTGCCGGAGCCCTGGCCCAGGCTGCCCAGGGAGGCTGTGGAGTCTCCTTCTCTGGAGATATTCCAGCCCCGCCTGGCCAAGGTCCTGTGCAGCCTGCTCTGGGTGACCCTGCTTGGGCAGGGGGTTGGGCTGGGTGACCCCCAGAGGTCCCTTCCAACCCCTACTATTCTGTGATTCTGTGATTCTGTGTGTGTTTGTGGCTGGTGGGACAACCACAAAGCGATGTCAGCAGGGCATGGTCTCTACACTGCTGGAACCAAGTAGTCACCTAAGCCACCTCTGCTGTGCCAGCACGGCCGTGAGCTTCTGACGCTCTTTGTAAACTTTAACGGCCGATTCTCGTGTCCATGGACAACATAGTGCTGTTTCAGCTGTCACTGGCGTTTCTGAAACTGCAGCACAGCAGTGGAACCAGTGTCGTAACGACGCGCTGTAAGCGGTGGTCAGGGGCAGCAGAGGAGCCCGGGCCGGGCTGGCACCGCGCTGTACCCTCTGCTCCGCACGCTTGCGGACGGCTGGCTGCCTGGTCCCGTGGAGAGAGCCCCGTCTCCTCGGGGCGGTGCTGCGAGCGGGGCCGGGCACGGATGCTGTGTGCCCCAGCGCCCCGGGGAGCAGACGGGGAGGGCTGTCCCCGCGCCAGCCGCCGCGGGAGAAGGGGACGGTCGCCAGTTCGGCTGTGGTGGAGACATTCGAGGAAACACGGGTGCGCGGCAACCACGGTCATCCTCCATCTCTGGCCATCATGTGACTTCTGGGCAAAAGGTCCATCTGCTGATCTTCTGAATGGGCATTTCTAGGTTCTCTGCAGAGGCCTTTGGTCAGGGAAAGGAAAAGAGAGGTCATATCCTGCTCTCGGTCATTTCGTGGTATCGTATTATTATATAACATGCCACATCAGGGCACTGCTGTCACCGGGGCTGCGGGCACTTCCCTCCGCAGGGCTGCGTGGCACCCTTGACACAGCACTTTTTCCATCGTGTCAAGTCTTTCAGCAATGTTTCCGGCGCGTTTCCGTCCTCGCTCACTGTCTCCCGCTATAAAGCGGGCTGAACCTAGGGATCCCGCGTCACGCACGACAAGGGGCACCTGCAGCGGTCCACCCTGACTCCTACGGTTTGTCTCCACCCAACAGCAGCATGAAGACCTCCGCAGCTGCCCTTGCTGTGCTTTTGGTGGCTGTCCTCTGCTACCAGGTGTCCTCTTCTCCAAGTGAGTCCAAGCTCTCCTCTCCGAGGAGCCCCCTCCCCTTTCTTTCTGCTGTATAAGGTCTGGTACAGCTTGGTGGCTCTCCCTTCCAAGCATCTGCTGCTGGAGAGGAGAGCCACGTCTCGCTGCTCTTTGGCTTCCCAAGGGAAGGAGGGCTGTGGTGGGAGCAGGGGGTGAGAGCAGCACCTCCTCCAGCAGGAGCTTTCTGGTCTTCTGAAGAGCTACTGGAGAGAGTCCAGTGGAGGGCTATGAGGATGATGAGGGGACTGGAGCATCTCCCCTACGAGGAGAGGCTGAGGGAGCTGGGCTTGTTCAGCCTGAAGAAGAGAAGGCTGCGAGGGGACCTAATAAATGCTTATAAATATCTGCAGGGTGGGTGTCAGGAGGATGGGGCCAGACTCTTTCCAGTGGTGCCCAGTGACAGGACAAGGGGCAATGGGCACAAACTGAGGCACAGGAAGTTCCGTCTGAACATGAGGAAGAACTTCTTCCCTCTGAGGGTGACGGAGCACTGGAACAGGCTGCCCAGGGAGGTTGTGGAGTCTCCTTCTCTGGAGATATTCAAGACCCGCCTGGACAAGATCCTGTGCAGCCTACTGTAGGTGACCCTGCTTCGGCAGGAGGGTTGGACTAGATGACCCACAGAGGTCACTTCCAACGCCTACCATTCTGTGATTCTGTGATCATAGTACCAGGTTATAGGGAAATACAGAGAACCAGTGAAAATATTACCCTGCTTCTCCCCACTGGCACTTTTCCTGGTCTGGTTTAATCGGAAAACTTAACTTCTCTTCCAGGTTCTGTCAATGTTTCTGGTCCCTGCTGCCTCAGATACAGTACCAAAGCGTTTCCCTTGAGCCGCGTGGTGATGTACGAGCACACGGGCAGCCACTGCGTCCAGCCAGCCGTGATGTGAGTGGGTCTCCTGCGCCATTCCTGGGGGTCCTGCTCCACCGAAGGGTGACAGCGCCAGGAAACCCCACGTCACACCCCATCCTGGCAAGGGAAAACATCAGGCCGGGCTCTCCCGCGTTGGGAGAACAGCCTGGAAACATCTCAGAGGCCAAGCCCACATCCCAGGCAGCCAGTTTCTAGACCTGCCTGGTAGATTTGAGCCAAAAGAGCCTTTGCTGGTCATCGCCCTCCTCCCCAGATAGCAGGACCCAGGCAGGATGGTGTCCCGGCTGGGGTAGGTGTGCTGGGGATGAAGTGGCTTAAGCAGCAGAGAGCAGGACACCCGCAATGACATTAAGCCAACCCCCCCCACCCCGTATTTCCCTGGGGCTGTTCTGCAGCTATAGAAGTGTCTGGTTTGGTGGGGTTCACCAGTGGCAAGGAGCAGGTGGTCCCCATCTCCTCTCCTCTCCTCTCCTCTCCTCCCCTCCCCTCTCCTCTCCTCCCCTC